AGAGACAGAGAGAGAGAGAGAGAGAGAGAGAGAGAGAGAGAGAGAAAGAGAGAGAGTTTTTAAATATTTATTTATTTATTTTTAGTTTTCAGCAGACACATCATCTTTGTTTGTATGTGGTGCTGAGGATTGAACCAAGACTGCATGCATGCCAGATGAGCACGCTACCGCTTGAGCCACATCCCCAGCCCCTGTATTTTTGTTTTTATATAAAAAAAATCACTGCTAAAATCAATATCATGAAAAAAATTTCAATTTGTTTTCTTTTAGAAGTTTTAGTTCTTAAATTTTTAATTCATTTTGCATTGATTTTTGTGTATGGTGTAATATAAAGATCCAATTACATTCATTTGCATGTGGATATTCAGTTTTTTCAACACCATACATTGAAGACACCATTTCCCCTCATTTTGCATTCTTGATATGCCATCAAAGATCAATTGACCATATATGCACGGCTTTATTTCTGGGCTATCTGTTATATTCTTCTGAACTATTTGTCTATTTGTATGTCAGTACTATATTGTTAAAATACCTTTGTTTAATTTATTTTTTTATGTGGTGCTGAGGATCAAACCCAGTGCCTCACACATGTGAGATAAGCACTCTACCACTGAGCCACAACCCCAGCCCAAGTACTATACTGTTTTGATTACTGTCATTTTGAAATATATTTTGAAATAAAAATGTGATGTCTCTGTCCTTATTCTTTTTATCAAGATTGATTTGTATATCTGTAGTCTTTTGTGTTTCCATATGAATTCTATAATTGGTTTTTCTACTTCTGTAAAAAAACTGCTGCTGGGTTTTTGATAGTCATTGCACTGAATGTATAGATTACTTTGGGTAGTATGGATATTTATTATCTATTCTTAATAGTTTTCCAATCCATGAACCCAGGATACCTTGCCATTGCTTGTATCTTCTTAATTTCTTTCATCAATGTTTTGTAGTTTTTGGTGTATAAATCTTTCACTTCCTTAGGTAAATTCTTGCTAAGTAATTGATTCTTTTCAGTGCTATTATAAATGATATTGTTTTCCTAATTTCCTTCTCAGATACCTTGGTGTTAGTGTATAGAATAATTACCATTTTTTTATATTGATTTTTTTTATCTTGTAACTTGACAGAATTTAATTCTTTGTTGTTTTGGCATCTAAGTTATCTGTATATAAGATCATGTTGCCTGCAAACAAGGACAATTTAACTTCTTTATGATCTGGACGCATCAGACCTGTTGATATTCCAAGACTGGCTAAATGAATGCCAGTTCTTTTGGCAGTCATGGAGATGTTGGGAAGCTGCACATATAGATCAAATCTTTCCATCCCTAGGTTTAGCTAAGAGCTAGAATTTTTTCTCCTTGTTCTTTGCTGAGCAAGGAAAGATTATGGTGCTTACCAGCTGACACTTCCATGTCTGATCTTCAAGACTGAAAGCCAGTCCTCCGGAATTCCACTGGGAACGTTGCAGTGTTTGATGTGCATACCAACCCTTCCCCTCTTCTTAGAGAAGGTGGTAACTAGGGGTTCTTTTCCTGATCATATGGTGCAGTAGTGGGTGTAAGAATTCAGGTGAGAGAATGTCACAAATCTTCCTTCTAGCTTTAGTGAGGTTGATTTATTGTTTCTGGGATAAGGCAACTTTTTACCTAATATCCAGATTTCTCAAAATGGGAATTTGTCTGTGAATAGTTGCTAAATTGGTATGTTTGTGCAAGAAAGGATAGTCTGGCACTTCTTACTCTGTCATCCTGCTTACATTATCTATTATTGATGCTTACTTTATATTTGGATATTTTAATCACTTTTTGAGTTTAGTAAATTCTGAGTTAAATAAAATTGTTTTGTCCTGGATGGAGGCTAATATGGACAATGGGAAACTTTGAGTTATTTATTCACTTCTATTTCCCATGATTAGCATAAAACCATTCTGGATTTATATTTTTTCTTTGTACAGTTTCATGTGGGAATATTTTAAACAATTTTTTTCTAAAACTATGAATGCCAACATATGTGTTTATTGTGCACTTACATTTAAGTAATAGTTTAGTTGACTATTACATTTGAGTCATACTGCTAATTTCCTGTAACACTATGAAAATATTACTCCATCATATTCTAGCATCTGGTGTTGCTGTTAAAAAGTTCAATGCCAATCAAATTTCAGTTCCTTTAGTGATAATATGATTTTTTTATCTCCTGAAAGTTAAAATTTTTCTCTTTTTCTTTGATAGCTTAAATTTCACATCAATATGCCATTTTGAGGGTTTTTACCCCTATCTATTGAGTAATCTGTAAGCATTTTCTCAATTCTCTCTTTAATTAATTATGGAGAAGTCTTTTACTTTTCTTAAAAATATTTTTTGTTTCATGTATTTGAGTTTTTCCTTCAAGTACTCTTGATTGAAATACTATCACATTTTTTATATTATCTGTATTTCTTAACTGTTCTTATGTATTTCATTTTTTTTTCATTTTTTTGAACTCTTCTGATACTTCCTTTAAGAGTGTTTACACTAAATAGTTTGGATGACTTAAAAATCTTTCTACTATGTTTCTCATTACTCAATTCACCTACTACACCAATAATTTCAACAACTGTCTTCTTTATATCTAGTACTGACAATTGCTTCTTCTTTACATTTGCTTCTCTGCTTCATACATAATATTCTATGAATGTCCTCCTTCACCATTTTTTATATATATTGATCTTATTTTAAATGCTTGTTTTATCAGATGTGTTCATTTATTTTGCTTTGCTTGCTATAGATTTTTTTGTATGTTATCATTCTTTTATTGTAATTGTATTTCTCAGATGTCTTATTATTTTTACTAGACATCTCCTATTGCTCTGGAATTGTTTAAAAAATCCAAGAAAATGTGTACAGGGAGATGGTTTAAATTCCAGGCCATAGTTGGTATCCCACACTGGTGAGTAAATGGTGGTGGTAACAAGGTATTCCTCAGGGCCATAAGCTTCTCAGGTTGGTGTCTTGTCCCAGCTACTGAATTTGTGTCATTTACTTCATTACCAGATGATTCTGAATCTCAGGGAATCTCCTTGTTCTTCTACCATAGACTCCACTGTTTCTCACCTAAAATCTTTGCTATAATCAATTAATTTTAGGAATGTGCAGATTATGCCTGAGTGAGGAATAATCAACTCCCCAAACCAGCTGGGCTCATCTTACTGACTGCCCCCAATAGATGCTGCCATTTTTATGGCTTTAAGTGGTGTTGGAGTGGAGAATTTGTCACCCAGGGCCACACCTATTTCTTATTGAGGATGCTTAGCTCTCTTTTACTATTAGTTGTAATTTCCACCTCTCTCACACAAACATTGGTGCGAAATGATCTCCCCCTACCCCCAGTCTCTTTCTGTCTTTAATTGAGCATCTCAGATCTAGAATGTTGGGTTTGAAGATTGGCAAAGACACAGGTCCACGGTCCTCATTGGAGAGCAGCAGTGTGCAAACAAGAAATGGTTTATTGTAGGTTATAACAGCAGATAAATCCATCTTACCAAATAGCTCCCAGGGGCAGCACAGGCCAGGGTGGTGAATTTGGCCTTTCTCCCACTACCAATGCTTGTTCATCACCTTGTCAGAACCCAGAAACCCCTCCATTCAAGTTGTAGAGATATTTTCTGCATTCCATTAACTGATATATTGAGGTGAAATGGTTCAGAATTATAAAGAATATTAAACTTCTTGGGGAAAAATAGAGATATTAAGAGCAAAAATATTAGCAATGGTTTATTTAACTAAAAAATATCATATAAAGCAATTATCTCTGAGAAAGAACCTAGGAACAACTAAGTCCAGAAGCAAGGGGTAAAATTCTCTTATGGTATGGGATACTATCAATTCATTATGATAATCATGATAATATTACTTTGACTTCTCAACTGTTCTCCATAAACCATAAATGTTTTTGGAGGACTTACATGTAGTTGCTACATAAGCTTAACTGACAGTGTTCTTGGATTCCTGGTAGACCCAGTACCAGTACTACAGAACAGCAAAACACCAAGCCAAATTCTATCTCAAAAAAAGTTCAGAACACTCCTCAGGACACAGCACTTGTTAATGATTTTCTTGTGCTAGTCTAGAGAAGTCTCTCGCTGTTGCTAACCCCTAAGCATGAGAAAGGCAAGTGACACCTACTGCTTGAGAAGTGTGTCCTCTCCCAAGTGCACACCTTTTAAATATCTTATGTCTGATAATATACTTCAGTGACACTGAAGTATTTATACATCATTTAGGGAACCAGGAATGGATACTATACCAAATAGTCCCATGGTAGAACACAACACTGTCCAGCTGTGTATTTTTAGGTCTGCAGGGAGATAAGGATTCCTAACATGGCCCAAAAAAAGTAAGTTGTTTTGCAGAAAGGATGACAATATTAACCTTTTCACAAAGTTCAATGTGAGGGAATGCAAGGGTATGTGGCATGCATTAGCACTGTTCTTGTGGTCTTTTTCATCTTTGTTAGAATTGTTTTAAATGGAAGCCTCAGGTGGCCCTTGCAGAATCTCCAGAAGCTTTAGACCAGAGATTGGTTGATTGACTGATTTCTTTTTCTTCTTTTGCTCTTTTTTTTTTTTTTTACACTAAAAGCCTGAGGCTCTTAACTCTACAAACTGATAAAAAGAAAAAAAAAAGGAAGAAAAGAAGGGAACAAGGGATGTAAGTAGGAAAAAAAGAAATAATAAGTGAATCCTTGTAATGAGAATATCTTTTTTTGTGTGTTTGTGTGCAAGGAATTTAAAGAAATATATTGGTAATAAAGAGTGTTCCTCTTACTGACCATCAATACTAAAAGTACATCAGTTAGACATGTGCTTTAATTCTTATGAAAAATTATGTTGATGACAAAGTTTTAAAGAGGCAACTTGGGAGAGAAGTGCATTTGTCTCCTTTGTGCAGTTGTCCCCCTCCTCACATTTGAGCTGTGCATTGCAGCTCTCTGCTCCTCTGTAACTGGCCCACCTACCTTTCCTTGCAAGGTGCACAGCTTCTGCATGCTCGACACTGGTGACCTCAGTACCATTGACAGACAGCACCACATCTCCGATTAGGAGCCCAGCTTCCTCAGCAGCACTGTCTGTAAGCAGACAGACAATGGTCTCATTGAAGGAAAGTTCCCACTTGAGGGTCCTGCTGTTTGTACTCTTTTTAAAAAAAGGCTTTCTCTAAAGGGCCTTTATTTCCAACTTTAGACAATTGCCTATGTCATTAATAAGAAGGAAAATGCTCTCCTTGCCGCCTGCCTTTCATTTCCTGGACTCCCACATTCAGCCAGTTGTCTGAGTGGCCTCTTTGCAATATAATAGCAAAGCTGCTCAGAAACGCAATCTATTCATCCACCAGAAGGTTGAACTGCTAGTTCTCATTCCTCCATTGCTGCTAGGTCTCTTTGTAACCCTGAGAAAATCACTTAACCTCAATATCTTCATCTATAAAAGGAGGATGGGGGCAGGGGCAGAGCTTCTCTGCAGGATTGTTGAGGGAACAAGTAATTGAAATACTTACAAAGTTGTGCAAAAACAGATCTTGGAGTGGTCAGGAAAAAAAAAAAGAAAGAAATAGAGCTGCTTTTACTTTCATCGAATAGGCTCCTCCCTGAGCAATTACAGAAAGGAAACAAAAATAGTTCAAGCCTTAGAACTCAGGGTATGAAACATGGGGAGGACCTTTCTAGAAGGTATTTATTTTATCCCTTGGATTGTAGCATTTGCATTTACTGCAACATACCTAACATTTTCTAGGGACAAAAAAGATGTAATAAGCCATTTCAAGGTTAATTAATTTTTAATAAGTTCTTCCATATATTTGGCCAAAATTCTTACGTCTGTTTTTTTCCTTTATGCTTCATTTTACATTTGTTTCCTCTTTCTTAGATCTCAGTTCTTGGTGCATATGTAGTGTTCATGGACATGCAGAGTACTATGCAGCAACGTCAGAATTTTATTATGTAGAATGTTATATATCTCAAAAATTTAATCTTAAAGCATGGCTCTACTGGTGTGGTAACAAGAAAGACTATTTTTGGTAATGGCCATGGTCTGTCTAAATCTGTTCATAATAGTAGGGAAGGCCTTTTCTGCTTGATAATCAGTGGCTCACCAATACAGGAGGGTAGGTAAAGCACAGTATTTGATATTTTGTTCATTTACACAATATCATGCTGGTACCTAATTAAAGTCTCATGGTATGGGTGACCATTTGAATATATTCCTTCTTAGTCTAAAAGAACTCAAAGCACTTACTCATGGCAATGCTTTCTGAACTAAATTCCAAAATGACAACATAGGTCCAGAGACAATTCCTAATTAATTTTTGTATTCCTGATGGTACTAATTATAAAGACCTATATATTATAGTCTTCCAATCAATACATGTTGAATGAATGAGTGATGCCAAAATTGTATGTCATAATTCCTACCTGCAAGGAATTTTAAATTCCATTGCGAAAGAAAAGATATGCTTAATATATATATGTATATATATACATATATATTTGTAATATAGTGAGTGACAAATATAAAAAAATAAAACAAAGGCAATAGATAATGTAAAACTTCAGAACAGGACATTTTCACTCCAATTTGGGATAGTTACAAAATGCTTTTCAGAAGAATTAGAATTTGGTCTGACTGATTAATAAATAGATTCTTTTTAGTGGGGAGTCATAGGGAAGATAAAGTGGCAGAGTGCTAGGTGTTCACAAATACAATTCCTCTTGTCTTTTGACTCATGCATTCCTTTGCTGTTGGGCATGCAATATATATGAAATCTAGCTATTGGACTGTAAACCAAAGCAAAGGTGCCACTTCCAGACTTGGCCCATGACATCATCCCAAGAGCCAACCCTTCATATTCTTTTCCTACTGCCTGCCAGATGCCAACTTAGGTATCACAAAACATTATTTGGTATAAAACTATTCTCCAACCCAAAACATCCACAATGGAGTAACAACCACAAAGGACTAACAACCTTTTTTTTTTTTTCTTTTTTACCTTTTTAGTTTTTGGTCTTAAGTCATAAATATATTTTTGTTCCAAAGCTAACATAATTTTAAACAATATAAAAAGCAAGAAATTAAAAGTATTCTAAACAAACTTATGGCAACAACTTTTTAAGACATGTCAAAAAGTAAGCGACTCAGATTAGCTGGAGAGAGGCTGTGGGGAGACAGAGGGGACAAGGCAGAAAAGATGACCAAAACATGAAGGGTCTTCTTGATGGTGAAGATCTAGAATTTATACTTGATCCCTCAACAATAGAGAACCATTAAAGATTGTGAGCAGAAAATAAATAGGCAGTTGTTTATAAGAGCTTAATTTTGGGTAGGGAGAGATTACGTTAAGCAGATCAGTATGAACATTATTACTAAAATATACAAACCTGAAATATGACTCCAGAAATGAGAATTGGAAATGAGGTATAAAAATCTGTCATGGGAGCTGAAACATTTTATTCATTCATTTGTGTACCTATCTAATTTTAATGGACTGTAAACACATTATGGACAAGTAAAATTTCTAATTATTTTGATATTTACCCTGTTTAGTATAATCTCTGACACCAGGCAGGAGATTTTTAAGTGTTGGTTGAACATGTGTGTTTTTAGATACACTAAGATAAACTTGGAGGATAAAATTGAAAATATTCATTTGAGTTATTGAAAAGTATGTTTCAAACCTAGAAGATAAGATAGGCCTGAGAAATAAATTCATGTTTCTTAACCAATGGGACAAATGTAAGAAGATAAATCAGAGCTTTGAAGACAAAATTTTGAAGAATAATTAACTTTAGAGAGAGGAGAAAAGAGGGGGCAAAGAGAATATAAGAAAGAAATAGATATATCTTAGCATGGACTCAAGAGTAAAAAGTCAATGAAGACAGTGGAAAATTTTAGGATTGAAAAGAATATCAACAATCCTATCATGGCGCCATAAGAGTAACCACAGTTGTTGGGTGTGGTTGCACTCCTGTAATCCCAGTGGCCCAGGAGGCCTAGACAGGAGGATTGTGAGTTCAAACCAACCTCAGCAACTTAATCGAGGCCTTAAGCAACTTATCAAGACCCTGTATCAAAAGAAAAAAATAAAAAGGGGCTGGGGATGTGGCTCAGTGACTGAGCGACCCTAAATTCAATTCTTAGTACCAAAAAGAAAAGAGTAACCATAGCATTTTTAATCCTTTTATGTCCAAGAAGTAAAAAAAGTAATAACAGAGGAAAGGTGATAATATCCGGAAATGGGAAAGTAAATGATAAAGAACTTTAAGGATTATAGAAGTAGAAGGAAAACATTTGAGTATTTGTGCCAATCAATAGGTTAAATGATTGATTAGATAAAGTTATAAACCACTAAAATAAATGTAGGGGTCCAGTAATAGGTTGTCATTACTAAGTAAAATTTGATTTTAAATAATTTATTTTTACTTAAAGAGTTTACTAATATGAAAATAATCCTTTTTTTTTTAAAAAAAAGCACCCTTAATTCACATATAATCTACTTGATCTGTGTAAACTGAACAATTCAATTGTTTTTAGTATATTGATGGAGTGTGCAACCCTCACCACAATCTAATTTTAGCACTTTTTCTTTTCACTATGGAAAGAAACTAGTCAATAATGGTTACTTTCTATCCACTGCCCCCCCCCCCCCAATCTCCCATCCTAAGGCAACCACTAATCTGCTTTCTGCTTCTCTGGATTTGTCTACTGTGACTATGCCATTTCTTATAAAATGAATCATAAAACAAATGGTCTTTTTTGTTTGGCTCTATTCACTCAGCCTAATGTTTTTAAGATTCATCTGTGTTATAAACTGTTATATATTCCTTTAGCTGACAAACAATATTCATTGTTAGAATATGGCATATTTTTAATCCACTCTTCAATTGATGGGCATTTGCATTATTCACATTTAAAAACAGCTATGTAAATTTGGAGACAAATTTGAAATTTGTGAACATCTGTTTTCATTTTTTTTTGTGAATTTATACCATAAGTGGAACTGCCCTAAGTGGGAACTCCATATCTAACATTTTGAGGAACAGTCAAGACTGTTTACCAAAGTGACTACACAATTTCATATTCCCACCAGTATTGCATGCATGTTTTGGATTTCTCTACATTCTTGTCAATGTTTATTATCTAACTTTTTTTTTTATTACAGCCCTCCTAGTGAGTGTGAAGTGGTATATCTGTGGTTTTGATTTGTGGTTCCCTTATGGCTACAGATGGTGAACACTGTTCATTTGCTAATTGGTTATTTATACATCTTCTTCAGAGAAATGTCTATTCAAATCCCCTGCTCATTTGAAAATTATGCTATCTTTGTATCATTAAGTTATGAGAGTGAAAATAATTCTTGTTTGTAGAGGAATTATTTATGGAGTGTAACTCTTCTGGGTAGTTTATATAATTGCTTTTAAGTTTAGTTATCAAGGGTACTGATTGTGTTCCAGTATCATGCAATATAACTTATAAGTTTTCCTTTATCTACTAATTATGGTGGGAGTTTGAGGCATTAGGACTTCTTGTGGGAGATATTTCAAGGTAGCCTTGTGATATATACCACACAGATGTTTCCACCACTTGAGGCTGATCTTGGGGGTGGGTGGAAGAATTCAGTCTATGTTGCTGGTGGAAAACAAGACCATGATTTTCTAAATTTACATTTCCCTCTAATAGGATACTTGACTGCACAGTTCCGTGTTTATTATGGAGAAATGAATGCTGAGCTACTCCATATTTTCATGCATATTTACATATAATGCAGAATCTGAAAACCTTATAATTAAAAAAAGGAGCTTGTAGATTTCATTTAAAAATTGTTCTATAACAAGTAGCATTTTAAATGCTAGAGCTTCCAAAAAGATGGGCCTTGTTCAAAATGTCCTCTATAGTTTGCCTTTCCTTAAATTTATAGTTTTCTTTTCAAGTTTGCTTGGTATCAAAGTTGAAACATCTGTTTCTTTTGTTTATGCCAACAGATCTCACAAGCATTTAGGCTTTCATAGAAAATGTTCATGCAAATGCCAGCCGGGTGTAGGCAATTAGTTATGTAAGCTCCAAGCAAGCTCAGTCT